AATTGATCGTCTCGTCTAGCACCATCTCTCGATTTCTAGGTATTTCACTCTGCCTGCCAGCTCTTAACTCATTATTTTACGCCTTACGTGGATGTGCTAAGGGCAAAGTGTTTAGAGGAAATGGGAATTCATCAGGTGATTGACGATGGTTTTGCTACGATATAATGAACGTTGGTAACTTTAGTGGAACGGTGGCAAACACGAGTGTTATTAAGGCCGCGTAATCCTGTAATTACATAACTGTAATTATTGGTCCTACGTGATTGATCGAGTATCTAAGTGCTCATCAACTCTGAACGTGACAGACGGGAAAAGGGTGAAAGATGCCGTTGTCATGGCTTCATACCATGCATCACGTGGTCGATAAGGACAGACACATATTGTTTGACTCATCACGTCCGTTTAGATGATATCGGTCAGTTAATATGTCAGCTGTGAGATGATCTTGTACGAGTATGTTACATAACTTGCATGAAACAAGTTCATCAATCGTAGCTGAGCTGTGCCCTGGCACAAGTGACTAATAAGCGTGGCAGGGGCGACAGAGTCCATGTCCACGGGGCTTTGTAAAACATCTTAAATCGTCTTAGGCTAGTTACCTACATAATAAGTAAAACTCTCTGTCTCTGTAAGCATTAAACCATATCGGTGGGGCCGATATGGTCATGGACTGCTCCGATTTCTTTTCAACGGCCCTTTCCCTCCATGCATGGGATAACTAGATACATGGAAGTGGGATAAATCCCTGAGCCCCGGTCCGACTCTCGGGGCCGTTCCGGGACTACAGGGACGAGGCGACCTGTTTGCCATGAGCTGGCTCGGGAAACGGCCAGCCTTGAACCGGTTACCGACCCGTCCGGACCGAGCCACACGTGCCGGTCGCCCCGCGCGGCCCCGGCCAGACCGGTGAGCTGCGGGACAGCCTACCCGGCAGGCGGCCGCCGCGTCGGGGCGGCCTCGTTCGTCGTCCCCTGTCGCCCGCAGGAAATCAGGCATTGTGGGTGGGCCCGGTACCCTTGAATTGTAGTTCATTATTTCAGTTTCATTGTTCTTGATTAGAGATCAGACAATATATTTCATTATGACTGATTTACCCGTGTCAGCAAATGTCCTCAGATTATGATCAAATTTGATAGAGATCATCTGAATCGTTCGCCGGCGGCGTCTTTGTCGCCAGCGTGACGCACGGGATGGTCGAGTGAGCGGTAATCTATACAATGACCTGATCAAATTCACCTTTCTACATCGCAGGGACGTGATAGGCCCTCCGTGTGACGGTGACACGTGAGTGACTGACCCGGCCCGCGGGTGATAGCGATGACCGTTCGCGCACTGAGCGGTGCATGCTCTCGGAACAAACGCACGTCGTTGGTTGCCGCATCGGATGTCCTAGAAGGCATCGTTAGGTTTATAGACGTCCCAAATTGCACTCATCGTTACCTCCGTGGGCTGAAGCGTGGCCTCTAGTCAGTCACCTCCATCTTTTAGTCCAATTGTCCAATTTACCTCCATCTACTCACCCGTTCCCTCTCTCCATCCCCTCTCCTCCGTGCAATCTCCACCCCTTCCCGCACCGCGTCCCACTCGCTGCACTGCGCGCTCTTCGTCTCTCCCCCTAGGGGCGGCCGTCGTGGCCCCACTGGAATGTCTGCGCCAGAGGGCCGGCATAGCTCGGCGCCAGCGGCTCTGGTACGCTGTTTCCGAACGGTATTGCATCACAGTGGGTTCACTGAATTGCCTCGGAGCCCACTCATTCCGTTCGTTGCATCTACTAGGAATGCTGCATCTTACCGTATTTGGACGTTGCCGGTTGCACTCTAAGTAGGTATTCCATTGCTAGCAATGCAGCATTCAGCATCGTCATAGCTTTAGTTATCGTATTTTATGTCACTCTCGTCACGCTATATGTGTACTATTGTATCACATTCGCACCGTCGTGAGTCTTTGCTATAGCTGATCCCTCCAAGGGACAACACGCATAAGTCCAACTATATAGTCAGGGTGGAAAGAAATGAAACGTTTCCGGACATTGTTGCCAACTATTGGCGAATCTCGACGGACAATCTAATGTCCGTCGATAAGTATTTCACCATCAATAGTCATCAGTTCGATATCTAATTCAATGTTTTTCTTACGTCGCTGTAGTTCACCATTGGGAATATCAGTCCCAAATGGCCAGAGGGGCAGGTCGGCATGGTCCTTCGCTGTTCCAGAGACCCATTAAGTACCAATGACAGACATTCCAGGGAATCCGTTACCATTGGCAGGCTGTGTATTATTGTAAGAGTGTTTGTTATTCCCGCTAGAATTAAGTCGTAACCATTATGTATGCTTTATGATCTATGTATGACACAACTAACATGATAACAATGTGTGAGGAGCGGTTGCGTCATTCGTTCAGCGTACCTCCTAGATCATTACAAGGAATATGAATGCCTAATTGATTGAGCCATGACTGCAAACGTTTCCGGAATCGCAGAACGATAGCAGGTTGACAATGTGCAATATAAAAACTGACTAGCCGTCGAGCTATTCTCAACGATGAAGACTTTAGTTTGTAAAACTCTGAAAAGTCTGTGAAAAACTCTGAGAAGTATATGTGTGTGTGTGTGCTATGGCTATATCATATACCTACTTACAGCATAGGCAATATGCTACAGCAAGAGTAGACATTGCATTTGCACCATCCTCACTAACTGGTTTTGCGTCTTTCAAAGGCTTCAGGCCTCTCCACAGGTCTTCCAGCTCGCCCCCGAATTAGAAGTGGGTCAACAAGAGACCGACGTGAAATTTGACCTTGAGCAGCGCCCGCGGGTCAGACAGCTGATGCTCCCTCCGACCTCCGTGCATGCCTTCCGTTGTTACATCCACTCAAACCAGTTTTAACCTGTTGTGATCTGCCCCAGACACCTGCTACGGGCGCCCCTGGGCCCGACCCGGTGCTACCTTCCACCGGCATGGGAATAGGTGCTCAAAGTACCCTGCAGGTGCCAACATCGGATGTGTTGGCATGCGGAAGCTGGGCGATCAGATCGCGGCAGCCCGAGCTGGTGGTCAGACGAGCGCACCAAGAGGTCGACGGGGTCTACAGGGGCGGGGTCGGCCTTTGGACACGGCGAGTGCTCTCCGTGACCCTCCTTTACAGAGGCGGGGCCGCCCTCCATGACCGCGTGATCCGTCAGACGCGAGCTAGTGAACATTGACCTGAGCCGTGAACTGACGGACCTGAGATGGTGAACCGTAACTTGACTTGTAAGCCATCGGACCTGAGCCAATGAACCACCAGACCTGATATTGTAAACCCAGACACCTAAAACAGTGAACCTGAAACAGTTTAAGAGACAGTAGGTAGGCCACCAGACCTCTGACAGTGCATTGTTGGACTTCAGCCCAATGGTCTGTCGGGTTTGACGCAGCGAGTTGTCAGATCTAACGCAGCGTTTCATGGGAAATGACGCACTGGGTCATTGCGTAGGACCTATGAACTGAAGAGCAGACTTCAACGTTGATCCAATAACGCGCCGTTAAAATCGACACGAAGACCATGCGGTGTATTCGAACTTCAAACCAGACGCAGATCACAGATGGCCACAGTCATTGAACAATAAATCGTTGGACGACGGAACTACGTAGAACTCTGACTTTAACTGAGACTAGCGCACCTCGAGACCTATCGGGACATCAGACTGCGTCGAACTGCGAACCAGTTATTCTTGTTCGGGAAAGCGAACAGGGGATGCGGCTTCAGCCTGTGGTCGGACGCTGCCACATAGCCGTTACCGTCGGGTCGGGTGATTGGCCTATGGTCGGTGGAGTCCCCCGACCGATTCACCGACGGTCAGCGGTGTATCCCCGGCTGACCATATCGGCCGACGGTCGTGTCCCCGACTGATTCGCGGACAGTCGGTCGTGTCCCCGACTGATTCGCGGACAGTCGGTCATGTCCCCGACCTAACGGCCTCGGTCGCTCCCCGCCACCGACGGTCGACCGCCGGTGCCGATCCGTTTACCCTCCGACGCGCTGGCAGCCGGCCCGCGACTCACGCCGTATCTACGCCACCGACCGGCATCTGCGTCGCCAACGCCGCCACTGCGCCTTCAATGCCGCCACTGCGCCACCAACGCTGCCGCTGCGTCTCGAATGCCGCCACTGCGCCACCAATGGCGCCGGGCCGCTGCCGCGCGCTCCGGTGCTAGTTGGCAGCCACGCGGGTTATTGCAAACAGCATTTCAATGTGTAGGTTACCGGCTATAAACTGGCATTGATCAGCTTTGAGTCACACTAATGGAACCTGCCATTGGTCGGATGCTTCTGTTGAAAGCCAATCATAGGGCTGTATCTATGCATGGCAGCTGCTGGCTATAGCCATTATGCATATGTTGATACAATGTAGCATGTCTGGAGCACACATACCATGTTACATCAATAAATAACCGTGTAAGTTAAGTGGCTGCAGATGTAGAAGCGACTCATTGTGTCTCAGAAATCGATGAGCTATATTCCAGTGAATCAATGGGTACGTTAGGATCAACTTCGAGACAAGTCAGACAAGCTTGTGACAAAGCAAATAGGATACTCGATGGACAATGAATTATGTAGTACAAAGGGTGTATCGTATCAACATATCAGGACAACAGCCGTGACCTGCCTAGTTCACCGAGCAGACCCAGAGCCGCCTGCACCGTCAACATCGCCATTGACCGCGGGACATTACATGCAGCCTGAAAACAGTTGACGTGCACCGAAGCAACCCTTCCCATCTCATGCTGGCTGAGGAGACGGGCTTCTTCAGTTGAGCTACTGGAGGAAGGGTTATTAACCGTGCATGGCACGGTAGCTCACCACGTAGAAATAAAAAGAAACGTCTGAAGCCAGTGCCCACTGCACTCCGACAGTTTTCACCGTTTCACCTGTAGGTTCGCTAGACTGCACATCCCTCAAACTTCTCGGTGTCTCTGTTTCCCAGTTGATCAGTGCGCATTTGTTTCTGACCTGGCAGCTATGGAAAAGGCGACGGGGACCGTCGCAGCGAGAAACCCCCGGCTGAGGAGGCGGACGCGGCCTCGGTCGAGATCGACGACTACGACTATGTGCCGCACTTCCAGCGGGTCTCCATTTCTGGGGAGGACACCAGCGGGGTAGGTGGTTCTGGGAGGACACCAGCGGGGTAGGTGGTTCTGGGAGGACACCAGCGGGGTAGGTGGTTCTGGGAGGACACCAGCGGGGTAGGTGGTTCTGGGAGGACACCAGCGGGGTAGGTGGTTCTGGGAGGACACCAGCGGGGTAGGTGGTTCTGGGAGGACACCAGCGGGGTAGGTGGTTCTGGGAGGACACCAGCGGGGTAGGTGGTTCTGGGAGGACACCCTAGCAGGGTAGGTGGTTCTGGGAGGACACCCTAGCGGGGTAGGTGGTTCTGGGAGGATACCAGCGAGCGGGGTAGGTGGCCCTGGGTGGTACCAGCGGGGTAGGTGTTCCGAACCCTATATGGCCGAGGGGGACACCTCGACGGTACCCTCAATGATGTCACCCATGGGGCCATGGTTTGATCATGAATATTCCAAGACTGCAGTGTTGGAAACCGTTATGACCCTCCGTCGTCCTGCTACACTGGCCCTCTGATCTACATAGTTGTGAACTCAATGTGACCTCTCCGTCATCCGTGACCTAGTTGTGAGCTCACTGTGACCTCTCTGTTGACTTCACCGTGACCTCCCTGTGACCTCCTTGTGACCTTGTGATCACCCTCCAACTTACCGTGGACTCGCTCGTCGCTGTGACCTTGTTGTGACCCAACTGTGGTCTCCCAGTAATTTCACTATGAACTCCCACTATAACCTGTGAACTCCCTGTAACATGTGACCTGTGACCTCGCTGTGACCTGTGACCTCAATAACCGCCAGGTGCCGGCGGAGGACCTGCGGAAGGCCTCTCAGGAGCTGGTGCGAGCTCTGGGGATCCGCGAACGCTACATGACCCAGTCGCACCAGAGCTTTCCTGACACGGCCGCGCGCTTCCTGTGCAGCGGCACCTCCTCGTCCACAGTGCGGCACGGAGTGAGGACGCACATTCACGGTCAGTTCACGGAGTTAGGGCGCACATCCACGGTCAGTGCGCGGAGTGATGACGGGCAGCAGTGGCGTAGACAGGGGGGGGGGGCCATGGGGGCCATGGCCCCCCCTTTCCGCCCAGCCGCCCAAATGGCGCCCCAATTAGCGCCGACTAGGCTGATGCCGTTTTACAGAGAGAACATGAATTAAAAAGTGATGTGCAGGTAGGGATCGAACTCAATATCTCTTTGGGTGTGCCTGGACACCTAAATAATCTCCAGGGCACCCCCAAATACGACCTGAGCCCCCAAATGTTGAAGGGCGCCCCTCCGGAAACCAGAATATTCCGAACCCCCAGGGTCGATGGCGCCCCTGAAGAGCCGCTGGCACCCACCTAAACGGAACAGTCGCCCCATTAAAGCTTGATGGCGCCCCTCTAGAGCACCCGGCGCCCCTCTGAAGTTCACAGCTGCCCCAATCGACCCATCCAAGATCGATCCCTGAAACCACTGGCGCCCCTCTAAAGCACCCGCATTCTTCTCAAGATCACAGTCGCCCTATCCGAGATCAATAGCGCCCTCAAGAGCCACTAGCGCCCCACCCCCTTGAGACTGAAGTCGTCCCGCTTGAGACTAAAGTCGCCCCATTCAAGCCCAATGACGCCCCTCCAGAGCGTCCGGCGCGCTTCTGAAGATCACGCCCATCTAAACGAAGGTTACAGCTGCCCCACCTTGATCGATGGCAGCCCTCTGAAACCAATGGCGCCCTTCTAGACTACCCGGCACCCCTCTGAAAATCACATTCGCCCCATCCGAGACAACGCCCCTGGAGACTACAGTCGGCCCACCCAAGCTCAAGCCCCTCCAGAGCCTCCCTGCGGCGCCCTGCTGAAGGCAACAGTGGCCCCATCCATGCCCAATGGCGCCCCTCAACGCCGTTTTAAAGATCACAGTCGTCCCATCAATCCGAGGTCGCTGGCGCCCCTCAAGAGCCACTGGCGCCCACCTGAACCGGGGCTTCAGTCGGCCCATCCTTGATCAATGGCGCCCCTCTGAAACCACTGATGCTCCTCTGAAAATCCCAGTCGGACCATCCGAGATCAATGGCGCCCCTCCAGAGCGTCCGACGCCCTACTGAAGGCAGCAGTGACCCCATCCAAGCATTGCACCACTCTAGAGCACCCGGTGCCCTTCTGAAGATCACATTCGCCCTATCCGAGGTCGTTGACGCCCTCCAGTAGTCACTGACGCGAAACTGAATTGGATACTTCGGTCGCCCCCCCCCCCCGAAACCTCTGACGCTAGGCAATTTTTTGACAATGGGACTTTCTCATCGACGCCAAGGGCCCTTTTCAAGATGCAGCAGCTAGGCGGCGCCGAGCTGGGCTTGGATGTGCCAAGCGTTCCTTATTAGGCAGCCTTGTAAGTGCCACCCTCGTTGCGATACCGCGCCCCTCAACGCGTACAATGCCACCCCTCAATGCAAGTGGCGCCCCTCAGCGCTGTGCCGCCCATTATTGCGATGCCGACAGCGCCTAGCAGTGGGGTGCCGCCCCCAGCGTAAGCGTTTTTTATTGAACCTGCTGGGGGTGTTCGAACACCCACTTCTAACTCAGCTTGTGGGCCACGTCGAGACAGTAGGCGGCGTTCGAAAGAGCGTCAAAAACTATTACAAAACTACTTAGATCATTTTAAGGTTAGGTCGAACTGGTCGTCGAAGGTCAGGTCATCAGCGACAACCGAAAATCAAATTTCGCCGATGTTGACATTTTTTCGACAAAGCGGCGCATAAGTCAGGATTCAGAAAGAGATTGAACTAAAACAGCGCCGCAGCAAAGCGCATATTCGATAGCTCTTTTTTATGCTCTCTCTTATTGATTATCTCAGATTTGACCTAAGGTAAACGTTTTAGCCTCAAAATATACGTTTTCGTGGAGGACGTTTACCTGTAATACCTTTTGGCTCAGACCTGCATGAGATTAGTTCAACCAGCATCGTGTTCCATTTTTCGAGACAGACGAGTCAAATGAACTAGAATTTGACATTAAAAGGGCATTTGAGAATTTGACCTAAGGTAAAGGTCATAACCTAACCGGTAAAGGTCATATTGCATATAAGTCGATCCATATTTTCGAGAAGGAAAATAATTATATAGGGTATTTCATTGCTCTACCATATCTCTATCAAAAGTTATTGTCCAAAAACTACTGAAGACCTTTCATGGCCTGATATGACCTCAGCAACATAAAAGGGGTCACATCACGAGTGAAATTTTCCGATTACATGTGTCATATTTACCTGCATCCCGATGGTTGAGGTTGTTTTCGTTCAGAAGAAGAGCATTTCAATTGTCTCCCATTAATCCGCGCCGTGCTGGAGGGGGGGGGGTACGCCCCCTTAGGTTTTTTCTCGCGAACATCTCAAAAACGGCGTCGCGCAGCGCCTGCGCTGTCTTTGGTACACCTGTTTATACATCTTTTCTACACAGCTTGTTAAATTTCAGATGAGGGTTGTTCAAGGTCAGGTCTATAGGGCACGTCAAGTGACCTTACCTAAAAAAAGTTAAAAGATCCGCTATAGCTACACCGACTGAACGATCACTTTTGAAACTTTTAGAGATTGATAAGACTAACAATATGCATAAAATGTTCATCTCGGACTTTTTATTTCTGTGACCTAAGGTCAGGTCAATTTTGGGACCAGTCAGTGGGAGAAAAGTGAAATGCGCCTCTTTTGGACGAATGTCGTTTAAAACCCCCTTTAACATCGGTTCACAGGTAAACATAGCACAATGAATCGTAAAAATGCACATGTGTCCTTTTATGTGCCCTTGAGGTCATCTCAGGTCATAAACGGTCACCTATTTTATCACCATAAACGTTTTTTTGGCTTCAACTTTTGATAGAGACGTGCTAGAGCGGTGAAAACACGTCAGATGTGGTCAGCTCGACGATACGGATCGACTGATCTGCAGAATGACCCTTTTCGGTCAGGTCATGACCTTGTCCTGCGGTCAAATTTTTAAAATAACCTTTCAAGGTCAACGTATAGTTCATTCGACGCGTCTCGACGAGAGGAACACGAGGCAGGCAAAATAAATATCGTCACTGTCTTGAACCAAATGTTATTGCAGAAAAACGCTTTTCATAAAAACTGTTATTTTTGGAATTTTTGCCCTCTGGCTGGAGGCTTAACCATTGACCTGAGATCAAATCCGAGAGCAATATTCAGAAAAGCCTGTAAAAGAGCTATCAAATGCGCTTTTCCGCGACGCTGTAGCTCTATTGGTTCCCGAGTTAGCCGTTGGCAGTTTCCAAAATTGTTGAAATGGACTAACTTTTACCTTTGATGACCTCTGGTGACCTGACCTTTGACCTGACCTAAAAATTGAAACGAACTCTTTCCGTCATTATTTTTGACGCTCTTTCGATTTCCCCTTACCGCGTGTCGCTACGTGGCCCAGGAGCCGAGTTAGAGGGGGGACGTGAAAACAACCTCCCCCCCCCCCAGCACGACACGGAAAGCACAGGCCACCAGCACGGCGCGGGTTAACTTATAGGTAATCGGTAACTTATAGGTACTTATAGAGAGGTCGCAAAATTGACCTGGCCCTCAATGAAGATATTTGAGAGGCTGCAGTCCACAGGTCATTTTGGTTCAGTGAGTGAACCTGTATGTTTTTTTTTTTTGCAAAGAATAAAGATTGTGCCAATCGATCAACGCATATTTTACCGTTTCGAATTCGAATGGGTGTGTATTTTGAGAATAACATGTCCGTAGCCTGAGCTCGTTTCGTATATCGTGCTAAATATGCATAAAGATTTTAATCGCTTTTGATAAAAAACACTGAGCTGCAAATTGCATTAATTGGATTTTATGAAAAATCAGCGAAACCTGGTTCTGATACTCGTGCCGGTTCCGTAGGAACACCTAGTAAATCATGCATGAATATACGCTACATTTTAGACTGAGCCCCTGTCACTAGCTCACTATGGCGCCCCTCTCAAGGGAAAAAGTCGCCCCCTCGAGCACCATGGCCCCCCATTCGCTGATTTCTGGCTACGCCACTGACGGGCAGTACACAGTCAGTACACGGAGTGAAGACGGGCAGTGCACGGTCAGTGCACAATGACAAAGTCTGTTTCCGACTGGGCAGAGGACGGTCAGGAGACGGTTAGTACCACACGTGCGAGTCAGAACGAATGAGACCCCAAAAATACACTGCACCGTATACACTATGCAATAGTATATACACACCGTGTTGATCCGTTCATATAGGCATGTGATGTCTGACGACTAAACTCAAAGATGTCTCTCTTGGATTCTTGATTTTCTTCTCTTTTTTGTTAACTTTTAAATAACTTTTCCTTTCTGATGTACTGTCAGTGTAACAGTGCTCATAAAATGAGTTCGAACAACAGTACCTACTTCCAGTGTAAAAGCTCTGAGACGTGTCACGAGAATGATGCCTAAACGGCCGTGTTTTCAGCTCCCATTATGAAGAGTAAGTTGTGTCGGACTGTAAGTAGACGGTTGGCGGTTGTATGTGTGGTAGCCCGTTCACTAAACTAACCCCGGAACATTGTCACCCGTGTTCTGCCGTGCCGTTTCCAACACATGCCACACATGAAACTGTCGGCGTGTGTGTGTCTGTGTGCGTGTGTGTGCTATACCTACTGTGTGGTTGTAATTTCCCCAGGACAGTGTCATTTCAATTTATGAGCTTATTACGTAAAATGTACAAAGCAGGCACCCTCGATCTGAAAACATATCCACATCAGCACCAAATATTTTACTGGGGTTTCTAACTGCTTTTGAAGGTCTCCAGGATCAACCGTTTTATCTTCATCCATTAGCATGCAAGCAATTGTGGTTGCTCTATAATAACTGCAGTTTTAGACATTTAGAAGGGTGGGTATATATTCGCTTTTTTGTGATTATAGCAAACCCAACCTCAGCTTTAGAATTGAGTTTTTCTTGAAGACAGAAACCCACTCTTGCTTTGATTCTTTCAGATACCTTCCTAAGTTTTGAACTTTGTACATTCTTCTTTGCCTAATTCTTCCCAAAAGGTAATGTACATATTTGAGCTAGGTAATAAAATTCATTCTTAATAGCCTATTTACGGCCCTTTTCAAATATTTTTACTGATGATTAGGAAGGAACTTTCAAATACGTAAATCAAAAAAGTCTACCACCGTGAACTCTGAATGAAGAACACAAGAAGATTCAAGTGATCTAAAAAAAAAAAATGAAAGAAATGACAGATGGCGATAACTTCGTAGCTACAAAACATACTAGTTGTAACCAAACGCTGGCTCACTGTACCGCATTCATTAGAATAGTCTTCGCTATACCTATTACCTACCTACGGCTCTTGCATAGATAAGCATTTAATAGCTACCTATCCATCATACATACAGCTACAACGAGTTCAGGATGGCATTGACGCTTCCAGGAGGGCAAAGAAATGACCGTGACCGTGATTGACCTTAGACAATCAATACACATGACGGGGATTTTTTTCCCGGCGACCTCAGAGCACCCGGTGCACGCGCCATCCACGGACAACCCGTGGGAGGTGGAATGGCTGCCGCCGCTCGACTGCACGTGCCAGATGGTGGGCGGCGTGTACCAGGTGAAGGCGGCAGACGGCACGGTGCGCGACTACGCCTACCCGGGCAAGGAGCAGTTCCTTGTGGACTTCAACTACCTGTGCGCCATCATCGCCGACGGACCGCTGTGAGTTGGCCGGAGCTCTGCTCCCCGAGACGGGTCGGCGAGCTGGGTAGGGCATCCTTTTCCAGAACTTCTTCTGATTCTTAGCATCAGTCTCGGGAACCCCTGACCTGACTCTTCGCATCAGTTCTGAGAGATGCTAACTGCCTGACAGATCCTGACGGACAAGTCTGTTATCCTGATCCGCCTAATTGTCCTGATTTGCAGCTCGCGTGTTCTCCCCGACCTGATCCGCAGTTGCGAACCTGACCCTCTGACCATTAGTCAAATCTGCCTGCTCTGAAGGAGATGGTCTTATCTCGTCGTCCTGATCGATCCATGGTCCTGCCAGCCAGCCTGCCCATCCTCGTCGGCCTGCGACATGAGATCTGCTGTCATCATTTATCCCTGTCCCCGGTCCGGCTGATATGCCGCCGTGGTGCATCACAGGATTACTCGGGGAACACTGATAAAAAGATTTGTGACGCCGCCGCTTTGTTCTCCATTTAGACGGAGCTGACTGTGCCGACTGTCCCAGTGTCGCATAAATATTTGGAAGGGACGTGAAAAACGCCGGGAGTGAATACTTGGGCAGCTGCGAGTTACGCTCGTGTCTTCAATCTTTTAATCAGATAACAATAGACCCATCTGGTATGTCCGTGTATCTGTGAACTATGAGGCTGGCTGCCGGGCGGGCAGTCAATACCGACCAGCTTTTTCTGGTAAACGCCACTATGTCGCCGACCACGGCCCTTGCCAGAAGTCGGCTCGGTACATTAGTACCCGCTCGGGCTACGACCCTGAGCGTCCCTCCCCGGTCGATTTACGACCATTGGAGGCCATTACCGACGTGTTCCGGTGATCGAGAACCGCTGGCCGGTGTTCGGCTGATCTTGGTCATTGTTCTCGGGACGACCGCCGTCTCTGCCAGAGTCGGACGATCTCTCCCCTCTCGAGGTCACTCCCGCCCTCCCTGGCACCGCTCCCTGTCTTCTCAGCAACCACGCCACTCCCGGCCTAACGACCGTGGCCGTCACACGAGCCGGGGAGGAGGGAAGGGTCTGTCAGCGCCTGCCCGCGCTCTGCATATGGGGAAGAGGGGCTGTCAGCGCCTTATACCGCGCCTGTCCTGGGGGAGGGAATGCCAATGTCTGACCGTCCTCTGATCTGAGTAGGAAAGGGGCAGGGCTGGCAGTGGCCGCACTCTGTCTGGGCGCACTCCGTCCGAAAGGAGAAAGTCACATCAATAGCTTGGCAAAACGGGCCGCTAGAGGTCAGTCATTCAACTGTGAACTGTCCCATTTCCAAAAGGTCTTTTGGTCTTATTCCAGTCTAAGGCAGCTGGTGAGAAATGCGGAATGCCAGCCTGCATGTACTGCAGAGTAGACATCTATTGATTTGAGTGATTGAGGTAGTTCATAAATTCGACGGTGACGCCCGGTCTCCCTCCCTGTTTCTCTCTCTCAATCCACAGAAAGTCATTCTGCTACCGGCGTCTGACATACCTGTCGTCAAAGTTCCAGCTGCACGTGCTACTGAACGAGCTGCGGGAGCTGGCCGCTCAGAAGTCCGTTCACCACAGGGACTTCTATAACGTCCGCAAGGTCAGATAAGACAAAGGGGAAAAGGAAATCGATACATGCGGATTCGGCCGCATGGGAGGGCAGACGGACATCGACGCTGTCTAGTCGGTGTGCACTGTGCGTATGTCTGCATGTGCACTGTGCAGAGGTATGAGGCAATACTCACAATAGTCATATACTTTGATTCAGTTTCACCGCTTTCACGAATGCATCTTGTTAGATCCGAACATTGAGGCGCACCCTGATGCAAAGCCAGTGTCAGCAGTCGGGCTCACACCACACAGCCCTAAATGTGTGGTCTCAGCCACTTGTGGTGTCAGCCGGCGGTTGTGACGGCAGCCACATGTGGCAGCCGGCGGTAGGATTTAGACTAACACAGCGCTCACTGATTCTGTTAGCGTCTGCCAGGCTTGCGTTTGCGGCGGCTGTTCATCGGCAGAACATTGGTAGAGTGGATTCCGTGGACCGCGAGATCGCGTCTTACACAAAAGCGGAATGCACATGGTGTTTCCTCAGATGTGAAGGACGCGAAATACCTGGGATTCAGACCAGTGGGCCAACTGACCGTCCTCTTACACCTGTCAGGTGGACACACACATTCACGCAGCGAGCAGCATGAACCAGAAGCACCTGCTGCGCTTTATCAAAAAGATGATGAAGACGAACAGCGAGGAGATCGTCTGCCTCAACAAGGAGGGCAAGCAGATGACGCTGCGGGACGTCTTCACAGAGATGAACCTCACGCCGTACGACCTCAACGTCGACATGCTGGACGTGCATGCGGTGAGGTCCTGGACTCTCGGCTCTCCAGCTTAGCGTATAATGTCATGTGGCGCATCATGAAATTCAGCTGTCTAGCCAGCTGTTGTCTGTTGAAGTTGACAAATAGCAATGCGACGCCGACGTTGCTAAATGGCCATTACCAAACAACATCATATGTATGACATCCTATATTCACATGTAATTAGCGTAATTGAATTTCAATGGACCCTTAATTACTTGTGTTTTGCCGTTTGCGACCAACCAGGTGTCCATAGCCCTTCGATCCATAGCCCTGCCTGAATTGTTTGGTCTGAGGATGTCCTTGTGCCCCGACTGCAGGATCGCAACACGTTCCATCGGTTCGACAAGTTCAACGCCAAGTATAACCCGGTGGGCGAGAGCAGCCTGCGAGAGGTGTTCCTCAAGACGGACAACTACATGAAAGGACGCTACTTCGCCAACATCATCAAAGTAAGCCTGCTGTGTCACGTCTCGTACTCCTTTGGCAAACCTAGCCCAAGTCAAAAGAAGCTTTTCTTTCAAGCTGGTTTTTATCATATACGACCAGAAACGTTCTTTCAATTGGAGCAATTGTTTTTACCGACTGCATGAAAGCCGAAAGCTGATGTCGAGCTGCTCCTTGCTCCTCTCAACAAAATTCACTTTCCTAAACGAATATCGACTTTGCCTCCTCCCGAATCACTCTTTCCCGAACGAGTTGCCCACCAATGACTTGCCGCCTCCACCTGAATAGGAGGTATGCGCTGACCTGGAGGAGAGCAAGTACCAGTCGGCCGAGCCGCGACTCTCCATCTACGGCCGCTCTCCCGGCGAGTGGGACAAGCTGGCCAAGTGGGCCGTCGACAACAACGTCTACTCGGACAACGTCCGGTGGCTGGTGCAGACCCCGCGGCTCTAGTGAGTGACCTGTTCCAGACGCCGCGGCGATAGTTAGACTAAGCATGTCCAAGAGTTAAGACTCAAGAACCTAAATGGCTTCTGAAAACCAGAGAAACTCGAAACATTTCTGGGCCCTTTCCTTCAGTAGGCAGATTTTGTATTTCAACTTGGTCGGTCGATAATAAAGCTAAACAAACAAGTGTTTTCAAAGTTTAATGACGGGTCGGTAACAGCAGGCTGATTGATTCCCTTTACTCCTCTAAACAGCGACATCTACCGTTCCAACAACCTGGTGAAGAACTTCGGGGAGATCATCAGCAACATGTTCAAACCGCTGTTCGAGGTGTCGCTGGCGCCGGCCTCGCATCCGGAGCTGCACAAGTTCCTCCAACACGTAAGTATAGGGCCTCTTCATCAACTTTTGCCAAGCCTGTCTTTTTTATTCATCGCATTGCTCTCCCAGTGGGTTAACCCTCGCGGGCTCGGGGGCGTTTTTCGCCCCCCCCCCCCCCTGGCGAATATTTGCGATAGCTCCCGAACGCTTAGGGATAGGAAAGCGAAACTTTCAGTACCCTTTCTCTCAATCAATTTGACATCTTCTGAAGTAAAAAATTTGGACCTAGCCCCATTGATGACGTCACAAGGTCCTTTTCTAGACCCCTGCACGGCAAACTTCGGCGTCACAGGCGCAAACTTCAAATAGCTGCTAAAATAGAGGTTTAGAGATAAAGACAAATTACGAGCACGGTTGTTTAGCGTTTGACCTAGAGAAAAATAGAAAAATAGTTTTGGTGACCTGAGGTCAGAGGTCAGGTCAACGACCCTGAAATGTGATTTTAGTTTTTCGCAAATAACTTCGACAGAAAAGGTCCTAGAGCTACGGCAATGGTACCATCGCATTCGCCTTGTCAAGCCGCGTCGAATGATATATATTTTGTTCGGAAAAAGTCAAGTTTTATGTTGACCTCATGTGACCTCGAATGACCTCTGGTTGACCTTGACACATGAGAGGTCATTTATGATGGATTTGTACCCGCTGATCACGAATCTGGCATCTATTTTCCTCTAAGCCTTCATTTAGAGCTTCTGGACGGCAAAATTGTCTTATTTATTATTACTAACTTGAATCAGTGAAATAGCCTCTAGCAGGGATACTCTTCTGTGATCTTGACCTTTGAGCAGCCTTGTATCGTAAAATGAACCACAAATAGGGAACTGATAAGCCTCAAAACATTTCAAAACATCTTGGAAGCTAGCACGCAAGATGTGCGAAAAAGTGCCAAGTTTGAGGTCAATTTTGAGCGTGATCTTGACCTTGACCTTTAATTTTAAGCACGTTTTCGGAATCCTCAGATTCTCTTCTTTCGTTTGACACCCAATTTTGCCGGTTTGACGCAGCCTGCCGTCCTCTAGAAGGCTTACTTTGAGATCACTACACATGTGCCGGTTTTTGCCTTTGACCTTGACCTCTGACCTTGAAAATTGACCTGAGGTCCAAAATTTTAGGTGCTTTAGAATCGTCTCGTAAGGACCTTTTGTTTGGTACCGCTTTTGTTTCCGTAGCTCCCTTATTTACGGAGTTAGACAGGGGGGCGAAAAACGCCCCCCCCGGGCTGCGGTGGTTGGGATTACCCCCGGGCCCGGCCGGGTCAAGAACGCCTTATCATCGAGATGTCGCCCATTCGTGTAGGAAGGCTCACACCCTTGATCGCCTCGGCAGCTGGTCGGCTTCGACTCTGTGGATGACGAGAGCAAGCCGGACAACCTGCTGTTCGACATGGACTCTCCGCCGCCGGAGGAGTGGACGGGCAGCGAGAACCCGCCCTACGTCTACTACGTCTACTACACCTACGCCAACATGGCCGTGCTGAACGCGCTCAGAGAGTGAGTCCTGAACGTGCCGGCGGAACTCTCGCAAATTGAGGAACTGTGTTGATGAATTCTATTCGTGTGCCCGTACTATCCGAAAGTAACGCAACATGATACTTTGTTGAGGACAGCGATTAGCGCTGCCGAAGCGATTTGATTTTGATAGCGCATTTTCTGGCTGTGCCTGTGGCTATACATTGTCTGCATACCTATCTTTCCGAGACTTGTTTGTTTGCGTTGCTAATGTTTGTCCTTTGTTGGCTCTGAACAGGGAGCGTGGCCTGAACACGTTCGTGTTCCGGCCCCACTGCGGCGAGGCCGGGCCTGTGAACCACCTGGTCTCCACCTTCATGATGGCGCAGTCCATCAACCACGGCCTCGGACTCAGAAAGGTCAGACAAGGGCTCTCCGGCCGGGCTGAGGAGGCGTCACCGCCAGAGCGGTGGCGCCGGGGAGGGATCGATACGACGGGCAGTTTGGTGGGCTGGTACGGTCCATGCTGTTGAATGTATTCATGAAAAGAAATAATGTAAGTCCCGAGAAGATTGCGAGCCATCTTCAAGTTAAATGCTAACCTGCCGGGTTATCGACTAGTGTTACCAAGTGTCCTGAGGCCAGTTTTACCAAAAAATACCAGCCGGCCGCCGAAATAAAATATCCAGCCGAAAAAATAGCCGCCACACAGCCACGAGTTTCACCAACAAAAAAATTCCAGCCAACATCGGCTGGAAATATTTGTCGCCGGCAGTCAGCTGATATTTTAATATCGATAATCATCAAGGAGATTGATAAATTATTTAAAACATGTTTCAAATAAAGTTAAGCGTGTTTTTTAAAGCAAATACAACAAAAATTGAGAAATATTATTATTGGAAAACATAACATATATTTTCAAGAGTTGTAACCACAAAATAGACCATAATAAACTTGCCAAATCAAGACCACCAAATTGTAAACCTACGTCATTTATGACGGTCACGATAGGAAGCGTGCGTTTTAGTGGATCTTTTTTTCCTGTCAGCCTATTATTTTTCATTTTTACAATACCTTCAACTTGCAATTAACCTTTTTGTCTGCTTTTAGTTGCACCTTGTAGAAAATAATCGTGTCGAACGTGCACGCAATGTATGGACCCCCACTCCCACCTTTTATGAGGTGGGGACTATAATAGATGGGACCCGCTCCCGACGCGGGAGTCGCACCTCTTTCCTTGAGATGTCAAAAGAGTGGGGAAGAAGCGGCAAACATTGTTCCCAGAGGCGCCACCTGAAGCTGGACGGACAGTTCCGCTGCCGAGCGAGTGAACTGCGGTGCTGCGAGGCGGCTTCGCGCGCACTGCATTACACCTACTTCTAGGACCAAGAGGGCTAAGGATTCGCCAAAGCCTATATGGGTAAAGCCTTGTGCCAAGGCGAGTGTCATACCTCAGGAAGATACCTACCCAGATTAACTGCACCGCGGTCATTGCAGGGCTGAGGGCGGTCGTTCGCCCCACTTCGGCGAGGTGGAGGTCATGCTGCCCGGCTAGGTGGTTTCAGCCGATATGCAGGCCCCGTTTGCCGGGCCCGGTCAAGACGAAGGAACGCCACACAGCAAACAATATAAGCTCCGGCCCCGCTACACTGGTCCGGCTCGTAACAATACCTGCGCTAGCTTCGTCGACCGTCGTTCGACTGCGCCCAGTACCGCTCAGTGGAGAGTCCTGCCGAACTCGTCCACGTGTGCCAAGATCATTCGTTGCGCACGGACACAATCGTCCGACGGAGACCGCTTTACATGATGATCGCGTGGTGACCACCTTTTCGCCGGCTTCCACGCCCAGTCGAGCCGTCTGGCTACGCCCCAACCAAATGATCGTTCTAAGCCTTTCGACTGGTTTGCAAAACTCGGGTCTAATATCGAAGTATTTGGGAGTTAGGACACGTTAAATCCGTGTTCATGAACAAATATACATTATGCAACTAAAAACGCCTTACCTACTTTAACTTTTCTGGGCTGATGACAAGGTAAACACCTATTCATTGTAATATTTCTAAAATGTAAATAAATCATGAGCGATGAGCGTAAAAAAAGGTGAAAAAAGCGATCAACTAGAAGCTAGCGTGGAAATCCACTGACGTAGGTCGCCTCGTACTGGCGCAGCTCGTACAGCGGCACCGGCGTCTCCCGCACCCGGCCGTCCACCTTGCCCGCCTGCGCCATCAGCCGCTAGAAATGGCTGCGCTGCCGCTCAAACATTAGCGTGACCGCCTGGCCGGCCCGGCTAACGCGCGCCGTCCGACGCACGCAGTGTGCCTTCAACAGCGCCGGGATGTCGTACGACACGACCGCGTCCACGGCATCCACGTCAATACCGCGCGCCATAGCCTCGAGCACACCAGCATCTCAGCTGGCGCGCGCCGCCGCCGCGCTGGCCCGCCGGCACTGCCCCAGGGAACTCGGCCTCGCGCGCGCCCAGCACCGACAGCGGTAGCTCCAGCTGGTGCGCTGCCTCGTTCCAGTTGACCAACACGAGCGAGCGCCGCCAGTCGGGCTGTCGGAGCAAATTGTGCATCAGCAGCGGCTTCAGCGGCTGCGGCGCCACCACGTTGAACGACTCGCTCAGCTCGCCCGGCGTGGTGAACCTGCCGACGAACTGACCGGGCAGTGCGACGGCGGCCGGCCGTGCCGGCCACCAGCAGTCGCGGCTGGAACAGCGACATTCGCTCCAGCTTCTCCGGCCTCCGGGTTCTGTGACAGGGTAGCCAAGAACGGCAGCTTCTGCAGCGGCAGGTGAGGCGCGCAGACGGCGGCGGCCGTCAGCCGGCCGGCGATGCAGGGCGGCGGGCCGTGGCTGCTGCCACCCGCTCCACCGCTTTCAGCCAGCCCGTCTCGGCCATCTCGATCACCCGGTCGGCTTCGTCGATCACCAGGTAGCGCAGGTGCGCTAGCGAGAAGCCCTCGGCGCTGGGTATGTGATCCATCAGCCAGCCAGGAGTGCTCACCACGACCAGCCAGGGAGACCGGGCCGCGCGGCCCCACCGCCACCAGTTGGTGCCCCCCCCCCTCGTGCCACTTCGTCTCCACCCAGCAGCCGGACGCAGAGCGGCGTGTCGGCGTCGTACTGGCGGAACACGGCGGACACCTGAGCGGGCAGCGCCTGTGTGGGTAGCACAGCTAGCGCGCGCACCCGGCGCACCGCGGCGCCGCGCCTGCACCAGCGGCAGCACGAACGGCAGCGTCTTACCGCGGCCGGCCGGCGCCGAAACGCAGAGGTCGGCCGGTGGCAGCGGCGACTCTGCGGCCGCCAGCAACTCGGGCAGCACCGTCACCTGCACCAGGAACACCTGTTCGATGCCCTCGGCGGCCAGCCGGGCGCGCAGCTCGGGGCAGAGCGCCGGCAGATTGGCCGGCGCCGGCCGCCGGTCGCCAATCGGCTGCGGGTGCGCCAGCCAGTCGGGCAGCGCACGCGGTGCACGGCCTGTCGGCTCGAGCGCTCCACCTCGTCCAGCACGGTGAAGTCGTCCGCGGCGGCGTCTCCGTCCGACTCGGAGGTGTTCTCACTGTCGTTATTGGCGACGGCGGCTGCCGCTGTGCGCTCAGTCAGGTCGGCCATCACAGCAACACTCGCCGATGATTGGCGTCATCGAAACCGTCGGACGACGGTGGATTCACCACCGTTTTTGCAGCAGAGACTGGAAAAACCTCAGCAATAAACAAGGAAAAACATCACAATATGCCACAGCCCGCAATTGTGCATATTGTCATTTTATTTCTCACATGACAGAAAATATTGGCTGCCTTATTCTAGGAACTGGCATGAAAAACATAAGCTAAAATCAAGCTAAGTGAATTATTATTGTATTTCAACATGAGACTGGGAAAAAATCCTTGTCACTGTCAACATGACCAGCGTAACGGCAGTGGCGGCGGAAGCAGGGGGGCAAGGGGGGCAGCTGCACCCTAAAGTTATGGAAAGGGGCGCCTCGAAAATCTGTAGAGGAGGCAGGAAGTTAAGAGGTGCGGCAGCCATAAAGCTGAGCAGTGCGACACCGCAACTGATAAAGGCACTTGTGACACGAAGAGGGTGGCAATGACGTGGGAAAAGTATCTTTTGATATGCTGAAGAGTGGAGGGCATCCTTATCTGAAACAAAGGCAGATGCTGCCGACCCCGTCGAATATAATCTTGCCAGGCGATAAAGGCTAGGGGGGCGCAGCCACTCGAGAAGCGCGCCATGCGGAAGAGGGGCGCCTGCATGCGAAAGAGGGGCGCCTGTGTGTGGGACGAAAAAGAAACATTTATGGAGACGTCTTTGAAGGCGATAGCCTCCGAACGCCAACACGAACATATGAGGGCTTATAGCGTTGCAGGCTCCATGCGACAAAAAGGGGCGCCTGATGGCCGATATGCGAGAGGAAATTAGTTTGTGTAACATTTATCGGGGGCGGTAACTGCAATAGTGCAGTGCAGCCCAGGCGGCATGCTGCTTACCGGCCTGCAATTCTCTGTCACCGAGTATGGATTCGGCGCCTTATTCACTAGTCCACACGAAGGTATTGGAACCGTGGAACTCTTTTCGATATGCATTATTCGGAGAATCTTATGGTATGGTGATGAGGTTGTTTCTAAACGAACATTATGAAGGTTACATTTACGCTATGGAATGTACCTAACTATTTCTCGTTACATAAAAACTGTAGTTCAGAACGTGTTAACAGGTACAACACATTGTCAAACGTCTCTTCACTGTTTGTGTTACTACAACCGTGTATATGGTAAGGGGCGCCCAGCGGGAAGGGGCGCTTCAATATCGTTTGCACCCCTATCCTAGAATACCTTCCGCCGCCACTGCGTAACGGACGGGCTGCATGAACATTTCGGCGCATGATCTGAAAACTCTGTGTGCAGAAATTTCAGCGCTGAGGTGAACAAAATAACATTTTGAATGCAATTTGCCTGGTGCCTCCACAATTTAGCAAAACTAACTCACAATACTTACAGCCAGTTTTAACATGATCCCTGCATGACTCATGCATGCAAGATACACATGCATTCAATATCAGCACAGTGCACACTGCACACACATCAGTTATGGATTCATTTACATTTACAACATTATTTTCTTTTCCTTCATTATTGGCAGCATGACTTGCTGAGTTCAGTGGCACAATCTTATGACAGCATTCAGCAAGTTTGTTCGGGTTCGCAACCATGCAAACTTTGCACGTTTTGCTTAAAAAACAAGCCTTTATACATTTCTTTCATGCTATTCAATTTCTTTTTTAAATTTATTCTATCTTGAGTTGAATTATCTTGAATTACTATCTTGAATTATTATATCTTGAAAATCTTGCCATTTTGGTCTTAGCAATGTCAATGCACCATGCCGCACAGCTCGAGTAAGTTCCACCCAAAAGTAGTAGTGGTATCAGTAGCTGGCACCTTGAAATGTCAAATGTAGATGAATATCAGTAGGCGGAACTATGGTCATGAGTACCCAAATATAGGAACGTCCCCATTTTTGGGAACGGAGTTCCCAAATATGGGAACGGGCGTTCCCATTTATGAGAACGGAAGGCAATTTTTCGGCCGTTCTCCCACTTAAACTCAAAAGTGCATCACGTCTCAAAAAAGTGCACGCTGATTCAAGTATCTACTAAATCTCCATAAAGTTATCTTTAATCTGACCGTGGAACAAGGAAATTGACCGTGGAATGATATTTTTAATGATTTTTTGAAAATGACAGAATGGTGGAAATATGGGTTATACGACATTTAACATGCAATTTTAAGGAAAATGAAGCATTTTTTAGTTTGAGGTAAAGTATAATAATTTTCGCCTGGTTATGAACTTTCATACTATCGACACCAGATGCTGACAAATGCAAGCGAAGACGCGGACGGTCCCGAGGTAATATTGTTGACTTTTGTGTCGGGGCGGACGACCGCGTGGAACGTGAGTGAATTTACCGAGCTACTGTTGTAAACTCAGTTTAAGCGGTTGAAAATTATCCAGCTGTATTTTATCATCCCGGAAAGACATATTTTATTTGGATGCTAGCTGTTTAGAGTTGTTTTATAAGGAGCGTCATGAGCGTGGTTTTTGTCTTCCGTATTTCTAAGCGTGATCGTTTTGGGGGAATTTCTCTTATATAGCTCGCTCTGTGTGGCTTATTTATAATTTTTATGCTGATTTCGATAATTCCTCGTGCCCATCCTACCAGGCCTTTTGCCACTTACACTCATCAAGAAAGGAAAAAACTAGATTTTCATTGGGACTAGGTGTTTTGAGGGTGTAACATATTCAGCGTTCCCATTTTTGGATACTTCCTTGTACTCGTCAACTATCGGTGATAAACAGACAGGTGCTTGACATGTCTCCACCCTCAGCGCGGACGGTGGATATAGGTATGGAAGACCTTGTTGAACATCGCTGAGCGTTGTGAATTACGTAATCCAGCAGAGGGGGGCGTGCCCGCTGCGAGATCGACGGGAATGAAAGCGCAGAAGACCGGGCGAAAAATGCGACGGTCTTGCCGGAAAGGTCATCTGATGATTGTTGCGTTAACAATAATTTGCGGCGTTGGACGTGATGCTTGTTAATGAAAAGAGCCCCTGAAAGGCATCGGTGAAATCGTTCCCAATTTTGGGTACGCCGTTCCCATAATAAGGAACGCTTGCAGCGCCAGTGTACGAGAGCGTTCCCAAATTTGGGCTCGCGGCCCGGATGATGGACTGCTTTAGAAATAGGGGAACGATTTGAAACTACGATGGGCCTTACAATATCAAACTCTTTCCCAACAATATTGAGACAAATATCAGGCGGTTCACGATCGTTTTATATTTTTTGGACGTCATTTAACGGTTCTTTTTCTTGTTTTAAATAATGCCTACATGGCGTTCCCATATTTGGGTTTATCGTTCCCAAACATGGGAACGAAAATGCGTTCCCGAAAATGGGTACGCTTGACCATAGTTCCGCCTACTGATATGTGAAAACAGTGACATATTTATTTAAAATCTTGAGTCCAATGAGCCTACCCTCTCTGCCTCTCCTTCCAGCATTTCTTCAATCACCTTCGATTTTCGAAAATGACCTTCCATCATTATTTTCCACTTCCGTGCGAGCAATGAACTTGTAAGCTGACCACTAGCTAATGCGCTATCATCTTGCTGTTGGGTGCTGGTAGCAAAAAGATAATATAAAACGAAAAAACTAACACCACAACACCAAACACCCGTCTTGTTGGTTCCTTTTGGTCCTGCCTGGTGACAAAGGCTCTTTCTTTACGCAATATCATCAGTATTCCTCTTCTAATCTTGAAGCCCAGATGCTTTACAAATTGGCCATGAATGATACTAAATTATTATATCAACTGAGAAGCGCAAATCACGATAATTAGTAACAAATGAGGCCAATTATCCCCACACGACATCAAAAAAATAGACGGGGTCGCCTATTTTTTGGGGCTGTTTTTCTACATATAATGGCGCAGATAAACACTCCATTAATGCCGCATTTGCCGTTGGTGAAACTCGTTGGCTATTTTTCTGGCTGATATTTTTTCACGCCGGCGGATATTTTTTCGCCTGGTTGGTGAAACTCGTCGGCTGGTTTTTGACAGAAAAATTGCGCCGGGCTGCTATTTTTCTGTTGGTAAAACTGGCCTCTGCACTCTACCGATGTGCGGTCAGTGCCTGACCCGTCCGTGCGCCCCCAGGTACCAGTGCTGCAGTACCTGTACTACCTGGCCCAGATCGGCCTGGCCATGTCGCCACTCAGCAACAACTCGCTGTTCCTGAACTACCCGCGTAACCCGCTACCCGAGTACCTGGCGCGCGGTCTGAACGTGTGCCTGTCCACCGATGACCCGCTGCAGTTTCACTTCACCAAGGAGCCGCTCATGGAGGAGTACAGCATCGCCGCCCAGGTGAGACGCCGACCGCTTACGGCACTTCTTATGGCAGGTTATCCGTTTTTCACTCCACTCCGAGTGAATGCAACTGGCCATCCTGACATGATAAGTCCCGGTCGTATCATGAGACGACTTCTTGACCTCACCTGACCACTCACCGACGGACTAGGCGTTGGACTATTATTGACACACCTCCCCCAACGTCTAGCGAACAGTGACCCTCTGGTCGCATCTGACTGCCCGACGATCCGCGGATGTAGGATTTATGGATACGTCTGTCTTCCATCGACCAGTGACCCTTTGTGACCTCACTCTCCGGCCTGCAGGTGTGGAAGCTGAGCTCGACCGACATGTCCGAGCTGTGCCGCAACTCGGTGCTCCAGTCGGGCTTCCCGCACGAGACCAAGCAGCACTGGCTGGGGCCCAACTACACGCGCGAGGGCGTGGCCGGTAACGACGTGACGCGAACCAACCTGCCCGACATCCGGGTGTCGTACCGGTACGAGACGCTGCTGGAGGAGCTGTCCACCATCTTCCAGGGCGTGACGCCCGACCCGGTGGATGAGGTGCAGCGCTACGTGCAGCGCCGCGGCGAGTCGTCGGAGCCGGTGGCTCGCTGAGCGACAGTGGCGACACTGGCGGAGGGCCGGGTGACGCTGGGCGGACCGCTGAACGACCCCGGAGACCCCCAATCTTTGCTGAGCGACACGTGCGACCGCGGCGGACCGCTGATCGAGCTCGGTATCTGCCCTACGACATCCAGCGTCTGCTGAGCTATCCCCAATGTCTGCTGGTCGACCTCCAACGTCCGCTGAGCGGCCCCTTCGGCAGGCTGAGCGACCCCCTGTGGCAACTGGCAGGCTGAGCAACCCCGGATCACGGTGGTGAAGATGGCGCCCGGTACTAACTGTCTGGTCTAGAGATTCGACGGCATTCGACTCAGCGAACTGAGGTTTCCGTCATTCGCATGTGTTGTAGTCCTTGTTCTCCTTACTTTGCCAGGTATAATCATGCGTCTAGAGATGTATTGACGGTGCTTGCCTCGCTGTTTTGTGCAGATTGTTTCCAGTCTTACAATGATGATGACGCATCAGTGATGTGTCATGACTTCCTCGCCCTTTCAATATTACTTTTTCTGGGATGGCTGTCGGGTACCTGCAGGTTCATTTTTATATGGTAATCATTACGTGGTATTATTTAGATATAGTTTAGCGGATGGAGCTTTGCATCAAGTGAATGAATCAGGAATGTGTTTCAACCGGCTGACTTGGGAGGTATGGAAGCATGAAAATGACCAGACAACAGCAGATATTCTCTTATGGATAGATGTGGCACTCATTCCTGAACAAATATAACTTCCATGAAACCTGCGAAGAGTTGAATAATAATTATTGAAAAGGATTTAAAGTACCATCGTGTTTAATAGATTTTTGCCTAGAAGAACTAGTATAACTAATATTTTCTGCGGTAGATTCGGACGATCTTGACAATAGGTTTGGATACGCGTCAGTGTGAAGCCATAAGCGAAGTTCGAACGGTTCGAACCACGTTTTACACATGCTGATGATTCGGTTTTTCAACAATTGTCGACACTTGTCAAAATCTTCCTTTACAACACGTATACCCGAATCAGAGAAGCTGCCCCAAAAGCTAATGAATGGGAATGTGTCTGTGCGATGTGTTTTATTTGTCTAGTTGTATGTGGGCGTTGTACTATATTTTACTCGTAAAATACTTTTTTACATGGTATGTTGACTTCTATGTGACACCACGAACTCGGACTGAACCATTACGTTCTGCGCCCATTTCTTTGACTTGATTAGATTAAAAGTTATCCTAGTCTTGATCACAAGGGCATGCGTCCAGCGACGATTATTATTGTATTCAATCACTGACGCAGCGCGGCAATGACCGTTTTAGAGAGGAGAGGGGCGGTCGCTTCCCGCGCGCTATTACTCAAAATAAATGGCAAGCAATCTATAATCTGGTGTTTGTCTGAGGAAAAACGGCTACGAATCAATGCGGTGCACACACACTACCTTACAAATCCAGTGTATATTTCACATTGTGTGTGATAATGTGGATGAGACTGCGCCACTGGGATGTGGCACGTTGCGAGCCCTCGCCCCATCAACAGCACAGCACACGGGGCAGGGCTGGCCCGACCAGAATGCATTAGGGACTGAGGCCTCGCCAAAGCTGTCGTAACATTTGGACGCGGGGAACTGAGGCCACCAGTCTCTACGCACATACCTGAATGTTTGTTAAATTCTGAAATCGGTCGTAAATGTTCAAAGAGTGGGCGTGACCTCACCGTATCGAACGCCACAATCCACGATGATAAAGAACGCACGCGACACCTCTCACCCCAACCACTCCGCGCAGGATCCCTCACATGGCAGTCAACAACCATCCTCGGCTACCCGTCCCAGGGAGGCGACGGCGGCCATTCGTACGGCCCGTCTGCCGTCCCGTGGCGCCCCAACGCCCGTCCCTCGCCCTCCCAGCGGCCGAGGGGAGCCGCTGACCCCTGGCACACACCCACCGACCACGGCAGCAGAACAGCGGCAGCGGAGGCCTACTTTTTGCCCGGCGGTCGGTAGGTGCCGACCACGACGGCGTGGTCGCGCTCGTACGGCTCCAGCGTCAGCTGCTCGGCCGGCTTCAGCTTTTCGGCCATCAGCTTCTTCACCTCTCCGGCGAACACGGCCTCGGGTGCCGCTGTGCTGTCGATACAGTTGGCCTTCCGGGCGGACGAAGGACGGAGCACAGTCAGCATTATAAAAAAAAAAAAATATTCAGACGGAAAATATAGTTAGACGCGGAAACTGTCGCAACCAGGTACAAAGGAACAATTTGAGTGAGCATAATAGTTAAATATTTTTTTGCGTATGGAGTGCTTTGCAATATATAATTTATCAATTGCGTAATCACGTTAGCAAGTAGGCACTGTCGCGTTACGTGCAGAACATACCGACGTACACATTTTATGACCAAATGAAAACAATGCTACCAGTATAACACCTTTTGGGGCGACTAACGGAGCGAGCGGGAGGGTGAGCCTTGCACGTGCGAAATTTCGAGGGGGTACCTCCAACTGACTTGTGCACGGCACCCTACTAACCGGTCTCTAGCGATGTGCCAAATTTGAGCACAATCGGCCCAGCCGTTCTCGAGATCTGGAAGCGGCACCCTGCACGTGCGCACGTGCAAAATGGGTCCCAAATGACTTGTGCACGGCACCCTACTAACTGGTCCCTAACCGTGTACCAAATTTGAGCGCTATCGGTCCAACCGTTCTCGAGATCTGGAAACGACCCCTGCACGTGCGCACGTGCAGCAGCACCCCAACTCTGGCACATGGATATGCAGTGCCTAGTGGGTGCCTACCATACATGCCAACTTTCAGCGCAATCGGCCAAGTAGTTACCGAGATATTGCAACAATTACAAAACTGACACCTCTTCGTTTTGCACGTGGCACGTGCATAAGCGGTCACCCACATGCATCGGGAATAGTCCAATACTTGGTAGAAGGAATGAAGCTACCCTACAAAAATTACCGCATGTAAATCGGTCATGCGGTTGCTGAGATATAAGCCTCGCAAAAGCGTCCGCACGGCCGGCCGGCCGCTCATACTCAGAAATTTCCGTTAATCTAAGGAAAGACTCCGCTCGCTTCGCTCGCTCCGTAATCAATACTGCAAAGCACTAAGCAGGTAATACACCTTTTTGCACTCAAAATAGGCATCTTTTCATTCAATTTCAGCGAATTGCATTCAATTTTAGCGATCTCTCTATTCGAAGCAAATGAGAGATCGCTAAAATTGAATGCAATTCGCCGAAATTGAATGAAAAGATGCCTATTTTGAGTGCAAAAAGGTGTAGTACTTTCCTTGGAGGAAATCGCTCATGAAAAACATATAAACGTGGGAGAGCGTCCGAGTGGAAAATGCCACTGTATAATACCGCATGAAGCAACAAATCACAAGATGGAAACGATCCCAAAACCAATGAACACATTCGTATTGTTATCGACATGATACCTCAAAATATGCTAGCTTATTATGGATTATTACATATATAGTATTACATTGTTAGATGTCGTCAGCATGGCAAACAATGTGAAAAGCAACTGGTCATCGCAGTTTTGCCAAGGCTACCTAACATAGACGTCCTTTACCATTCACCGAAATAAACTGCAATACCGAATCCTCACCTTGATTGAGATAACGAAGTGTCCACCGTTCTTGAGGAAGTTGTGCGCGTTGATGGCCACGATGCGCGCCTGATCGGGCTGCGCCACGTCAGCAAACACGCAGTCCACCATGCCGACCAGCATGCGGTACTTGTGCGGGTGGCGAGCGTCCTCAATGATCGGCACGATGTTGTTGCGCTTCTTGGCCACGTTGATGAGATCGCGCCCGGAGCGGTGAGAGAACTCCACAGCGTAGACGAGTCCCTCGGGTCCGACCACGTCTGACACGTGAGAGACCGTGGTGCCGGAGGCGGCGCCCAGGTAGAGCACCTTGCTGCCGGGAGGCATGTGCACCGCTTCCACACCGCCAAGGATGGCCGCCGCCAGCTTGGAGCGGAACGGGTTCCACACGCGATACTCGATCTTCTCGCCGGCCGTGTCCGGATTGTCCACGGAGATGCGCTTCTCGCCGTAGACGCTCTCGCCAGGCACCATGTTCAGGGTGACCAGCGCATCCTCCTTGCCGCGCGCGATGAACACTCCCTCGTGACGATGCGGCTCGATGATGACCGCCTTTCCGCCGCGCATGCCTCCGCGACCTCCGCGGCCACCACGCCCGCCACGGCCGCGGTCACCTCCGCGGCCGCGGCCCCGGAACCCTCCCCGGTCGCCGCCACCCCGGCCGCCGCGGAACCCACCGCGGTCGCCGCGGAACCCACCGCGGTCACCGCCGCCACGGCCGCCCCTGAAGCCACCGCGGTCTCCTCCACCACGACCGCCGCCGCCCCGGCCCCGGAAACCACCTCCGCGCGGAGAGAACCCTGCCGGAACGAACAACAAAGGCTGTCAGGTAAAAACAAACCTTGCACTTATCGAAATTAACCCCGAAAATGAAATGTTGCTAAAAGAAAGGTTACAAAACATGAACCAGACTCAAGTTTTATTTAAAAGAGGTCTTTAGAAATTAAAGCCTGAAAACCTAAATGGCTGGTATTACGGTAGGATGGATGCGACATTTCTATTCATAGCACTCCTGGTCACCTGATAATGGGTGGCGGCATATAAAAAACCAAGCTTTAAATCATGAAATTTGATCTCAAACTTTCAAAGCAAAATTGAACTTAGATGCGGTGTTTTAAGATACACATATAGGCATCACAAGTCATAATGTCATTTAGGGAGGAGTAAGTTTTGAAGGTCGTATGTCTGTGAGAAAATGTACCATTTCTGAAATATTTATATTGAATACAGTTCCAATCTGGCCTGTAGTTCAATGTCAAGTAAATTTCCCAATGAGAATAGTTAGCTGTTATTTGAATTGCTCCAGCTCATATATACAGAAATCTGAAACTATTTCTGGAGGGGATAGCCTGCAATTTGTGGGTAGAGCAGCACCAATATATGTAGGCTGATAGCCTGAAAACTCATGATGCAATGGACGAAAAGCTATAAATTGTTTCGACAATTTGACATTGTGCAATGTGCATTATCATTCTGTGATTTAGAGCAGAAAAGTTGAAACCTTAATTATGAACTAACAGTGTGTGATTGTAATAAGACAATTATGGCCAAAGAGTGAGGCACCCCTGAACCTAGCAAATGCATATCCTCTAATGCAGTGGTCGGCAGGTCCTCCGGGGTCGTGCCCCCTTTTTTCGCGTAGGGCAGGGCCATTACCCCCACCTACCAGACCCCATTGCTGACAACCAAGTTTACCGAAATTCCATTCCTTCCTGTTCCATAATTTTATAATTCCATACCTTCTCAGAGGCCCTCATCACCCCCCATCAAAGGGCTCCATTACCCCCAAAGGGGCATACCCCACCATTTGCCGACCTCTGCTCTAATGGAAATGCTGCTCAAAACAATCAACAGCCAGATCATCCCTTATATTAGTTAGGTAATAGTTAAATGGGCAATTCCACGACAAATCACCTAATTTTTTTCCAATTGTTCACCATGACCTCTCCGATTTTGCTCAAATTTGGCATGTAAGTTGACCTATGGGCACTACTTCGTCCCAGTAAATTTTTAGTCTCTAGGTCACAGGGGTCATGAGATATGGGTCATGCAAATTTTTAGGTTTTCCGGAACATTGAAATATAAAGTATTTTTTATCTCCGAAACGGTTCACCGGATCAAAAAAAGTTATACATGAAATCAGAAGCGCAAAGGCTGGTGCGTCTAGCAAAAATGTGAACGAAACCCCAAGGTCATTTTTTGACCCTTTGACCTCGTGACCTTTTCTTGACCCCGTGACCTTTCAAATTTGTCCTATTTTAAAAATTCTGATTTTTTCTATCAGAGATGTCTTATCCATGCTCTTAATAGTGGTATGTGATTTGGTTGGTATATCGGACCCGTTGACCTCAAACTGAGGTCAACAATGTGGTCATGACCTGACATGAAAATGACATCTGCCGAGAACGTCGAGAATCATAGGCAATATGGGTGTCATATGAAAGCTTACTTCACGGAGAATGCATTGGTGGTGTTTTTGAGTAGGTATGGGCCGGGTCAAGGTCACATTAGGTCAGTGACCTAACACAGCATTGTGTTCTTTGAAGGTGGCGTATTTAATTTGTTTGGTAAGCCCAGTGATCAGCACACAATAAAAAAAGGAAACAAAACGTCATAAAACATCGTCTGTCTTTATTCAAAAAGCACAGATAAAATGCATTCACCCATATACACACACTCGCACAAACACACGCACATACATACACCTTGTTCGAGGAAGATCTTTCAAACAAACCTCAGTAACACACGCGGTGTGAAGAACGAGTCTTAGAAGACTAGTAGAGCTTGAAGGCTGCTATGGTGTGGGAGTCGAGCGGTACAAAGCGGTGAAACGTCCTGGTACACTCGGGGGCAGATTGATGTTCCACCACTCCCTACCCATCGGGCTCCCATGGATCAGCAGTGGCTGCTGCCAGTGTTGCCTGCCCTCAGCACTGCTCAGCACTGCCTGCCAGTGCCAGTGCTGCCAGTGCTGCCACTGGCAGCAGCCAGTGCTGAGCCATGGGAGCCCGATGGGTATAGGGAGTGGTGGAACATCAATATGCCCCCGAGTGTACCTACTACCTACCCCTCACCGTGCGGGCACTTGTGAACCGTTCTCTTTCATTTTCGTCTTCGTTCCTGCTATTTGCGTTGCCGAAACGAAGAAGAAATGCATTTTATCGGTAAGGTGGTCCTCACAGTATTACCAATACCATCGCATGCGCTTTTGCCATGCGAGGTGGCAAAAAAATCCACTCACATTGAACACCGAAATCCTCGGCATGATGACATATATTTGCAAAATTGTATTTGTTCTTGTACTGGGACGCTGCTCGGACAGAGAAGTAGTGTATTTTTTAGTCTTGGGCATTCATTTCAAATGTGGGGAATAACCACTGCCTGAAATGCCGCTTCAGCTCCCGCGTCAGCTCCCGCAACGCAAATAGCAGAAACGAAGACAAAAATGAAAGAACGCTTCACAAGTGCCCGCATGGTGAAGGGTACCAGGACGTTTCACCGCTTTGTACTGCTCGACTCCAATACCATAGCAGCCTTCAAACTGTCCGAGTCTTCTGAGACTCGTTCTTCACAGCGCGTGTGTCACTGGGGTTTGTTTGAAAGAACTTCCTCGAACAAGGTGTATGAATGTGTGTGTTTTTGCGAGTGTGTTTATATGGGTATGTGTGCATTTTATCTCTGCTTTTTGAATAAAAAAGACGTTTTATGACGTTTTGTTTCCTTTTTTATTGTGTGCTGATCACTGGGCTTACCAAACAAATTAAATACGCCACCTTCAAAGAACACAATGCTGTGTTAGGTCACTGACCTAATGTGACCTTGACCCGGCCCATACCTACTCAAAAACACCACCAATGTATTCTCCGTGAAGTAAGCTTTCATATGACACCCATATTGCCTATGATTCTCGACGTTCTCAGCAGATGTCATTTTCATGTCAGGTCATGACCACATTGTTGACCTCAGTTTGAGGTCAACGGGTCCGATATACCAACCAAATCACATACCACTATTAAGAGCATGGATAAGACATCTCTGATAGAAAAAATCAGAATTTTTAAAATAGGACAAATTTGAAAGGTCACGGGGTCAAGAAAAGGTCACGAGGTCAAAGGGTCAAAAAATGACCTTGGGGTTTCGTTCACATTTTTGCTAGACGCACCAGCCTTTGCGCTTCTTATATCATATATAACTTTTTTTGATCCGGTGAACCGTTGCAGAGATAAAAAATACTTTATATTTCAATGTTCCGGAAAACCTAAAAATTTGCATGACCCATATCTCATGACCCCTGTGACCTAGAGACTAAAAATTTACTGTGACGAAGTAGTGCCCATAGGTCAACTTGCATGCCAAATTTGAGCAAAATCGGAAAGGTCATGGTGAACATGCCTAGGTGATCTGTCATGGAATTGCCCAAATGTTAGTGAGCTGTTTATGCTCACCATGGTGGGAGCAGTCATCACCCACAGCCAGTTAGCCAGCTGATTATTACAGATTGTGTGCAGCTTTAACATGCGCAGTGGAAGGGTTGCGAGCACTACGCTCAGTGGAAGGGGGGCGGATATCCCCCCCGAAGAGCCTGAAACAGACTATCCGCATTCAGGAAATCGCATGCGAGAGCCAATTCAAATACATTGTAATTCTTCTCGCATCAATCGCATCCAGGAGGTACGTGCGATTGATGCGAACATGCTTCCATATATTTGAATAGGCTCTCGCATGTGATTTCCTGACTGCAGAAAGTCTGTTTCAGGCTTTAAATCTCAGCTCCCACTAGAGCTAGAAAGACAAAATTTGGAGGGTAGGTGCAGGCCCTGGAGAACTCGGTGGTCAATATCTTCAAGGTCAAATGAGGTCAAATCTTCCATATGAACGACTTATTTGCGTTTACACAACGATAACTCAAAAAGTTACCAGCTGATTTCAATTCTTTTTTCTTTCACTATACGAAAGAAAAAAAAACAAATTCTAAGTCAGAATGAATAACTTTAATATAACGCCAAACTAAAAATTTCCACATATTTTATTTAGAGCCCTAAGGTTACATCCTGCCCCGTTTGCTTTATTTCAAATTTTCCACCATCTACAATCATATGGTGATTAGAAAGCAACAAAGGTATTGACGCCTCACGTTTGCGAAAACATAACATACCTGGAACACCCATTCCGTCAGCTGTAGTTTTAAACGACTCTTGAGGACGGAGCTGACGATATTACTCCAACTGCAGACCAAAGTTTTCAGAAATTACGCACCATAACGCCCGAGCTCCTCCATTCAACTCAACCGCAAACAAACGAGAATGGTGGCGTCTCGGCCGCACATGGCAAATGTAGTATGTGCGTCATATTTGTAAAGATCTTTCCCACGCGGACAGCAAAAATAAATAAATCATTTTTTATTTTATTCACAAAAGCCAGAAAGTTCAAGGTGTTTCGAAAACAAAAATTTCAAACACATCATTCATGTTATTTGGTTAAAAAAAAAACTTACAGTTTACCCTGGAAAGGAATACCAAATTCTTATTAGAATGATTAGAATGCCTGCACTAAATCAAAGCATGCTTCTCTGTGTACATTATTCTTGTATATTGTATTGATATTTATAGTCACCGTGTACATTATGTGGTAAGTTTTAAATATATAAAAATATGAGCGGTGAGCCGATGATGGGTCGTTTTTAACAGCTGACATCGAAAGCAGAGAAATAGATAGGATATCCCGCGCCCCAGTGTCAGTCTGGATTTTCCACGACCTGGTGTGGGGGGTGTTTGAACACCCCCACATTTCTTAACACCCTTCTAACTCGGCTCCTGGGCCACGTAGCGACACGCGGTAAGCGGAACTCGAAAGAACGTCAAAAATAAGGACGAAAACACCTCGGTCATTTTTTGGGTCAGGTCAAAGGTCAGGTCACCAGAGGTCACCAAAGGTAAAATGTTGACTATTTCAACATTTTGGAAACTGCCAACGGCTATCTCGGAAACCGATAGAGCTACAGCGCCGCGGAAAAGCGCATTCGATAGCCCTTTTACAGACCTTTCTGAGTAATGTTCTCAGATTTGACCTCAGGTCAACGGTTTAGCCTCCAGAAGGCAAAAATTCCAAAAATAGAAGTTTTTACGAAAATCGGTTTTTCGGCCATAACTTTTGACTCAAAAGAGCCATGACATTACTTTTGCCAGCATCGTGTTCCTCTCGTTGACACGCGTCGAATGAACTATAAGTTGACCTTGAAAGGTTTAACTCTCGCATGTGTAGGGGGGTCGGATGGACCCCCCATGGTTTTTCGCGAATAACTCGCGTAAAAAGCGGCCGATCGCAACGATACTTTCAGTACCCTCACATTGATCAATTTTACACCTACCCTGAAAATTTCATGACCCTGACCCAAATGACCTTTGACCTGTGACCTCTTTTCCGAGACCATGTTTGGCCGGAATCGCGATTCTGCGTATGTCGGCTCGCATTAGCCGCGCGTTTGCAAGCTTTTCGTGGTTTCAAACGTTCAAACATGTGATTTGATGTTGCTTCCATGCATTAGGGTGGGTGTCAAGGTCACCTGAAGGTCAGGTCAGGTCATTGACCTTTGGTGACCTCGGGTGACCTCGGTTCACTTTTTCGAGCTGTACATGTTTCGAGGCTAGTTTTTGGAGCTGAATTTGAATTTAGCAACCATTTGAACATTTACGAAGTAGTTTTGGTGCCTTCGTAACATGTTACGAAGCTGTCAGAGGCGGTTGACACGTACTACGAATACCCGTCACGATGCCTACTGGTTGACCTGACCTGACCTGACCCGACCTGGTCTAAATGCTTAAAGACGTCATCTGTGATCAAAACTAACACGATATTCGTGATCAGCACCCCGAAAAACCCCTTAGCAGCCACACTTTACGACTTTCTAACAGGTCCCGATTTTCCCGACTTTGGGTCATTGACCTGACCTGGAAGGTCACCCAATGACCTAGGACCTTAAAATTGGGAATCATGATATCATCGGCTTCCTCTCGTCACGGGCAACACGCTCGTTTTTTTCCGCGAAGCTCTAGCTCGATCAGGGGTTAAACGGCAAGGGGGGTCCAACCGACCCCCCCCCCCCCCTACACATTAGAAGCTGGCAAACGCCGCACACATGCGAGGGATAAGTTAAGCTGACCTTGAAAGGTCAACTTGAAAATTTGACCTCAGGGTCATGACCTGACCGGAAAAGGTCATGTTGCATATCAGTCGATCCGCAACGTCGAGCCGAACACACTAAGGCGTTTACAGCGTTCTAGCACGCCTCTATCAGAAGTTATTAGCGAAAAACTGTTAGATTCTGTTCGTGACCTGAGATGACCTCGGGGACATAACGAGGGGTCACAGTTGCCATTTTCCGGTTCAGTGTGTCAATTTTACCTACATCTCGATGTTTGAGAGTGTCTAGAATAGCGTTCGTGCAAAACAGACGCTTTTCAAGTTTCTCCCATTGACTTATACCTAATGGAGAGGCCGCAAAATTGACCTGACCTTAGGTCACCGATATCAAAATTCCGAGATCAACATTTTATAGATACTGTTACCCTCATCAATCGCTGAAAGTTTCAAAGTGATCGGTCGCTCGGTGTAGCTATGGCAGACATTGAAACTTTTTATGAGGTGAGGTCACTTCAAGTGACCTGTTGACCTGACCTTGAATGACCTTGGTCTGAAATTTTCACAACATGTGTAGAATTGATGTATGATAAGGTGTACCAAAAACGGCGGCGCTCCACGCCGCCTTTTTGAGATATCTGCGAAAAACCGGAGGGGGGTGTTCAAACACCCCCCCCCCCCACACACACACACACACACTTGGGCGCGGGATATGACACTAACGCTAAGTCGCTAAAAAATAAAATAAAAAACAACACAAAAGGCCGATCGCTGCTAAAGCATCAGCAGATAAACATTTAGTCTCAAACGTGCCTGTCGTGTTCCCTCCGGCCTCTTGCACCCGCGTCATCGCGGTGTAGCCGTGCGGCTCTGAAGGTCCCTCACGCCTGCAACTGGCTACGGGTGGCTCCTTTAAGCCCCGGTCACACATACACGACGCACGGCCCGCGCACCAAAAATTCATTCATTTAGGTCAGTGCGTCGTCCTGCGCTATGCATTCGTTACTCGTTCGTCGAGTGCGCTGGGCCAACGGTATCATGCGTCGTCATTCGTTGCGTGCGTCAACAATTTTTGTGCATGCTCAAAAATGTGCGTTGAGCTCGACGCACGAAGACGAACGCCAGACACACGCGGAGCGCGTTGGGCCAGCGCCAGATACACGCGGAACACACGCTGGGTATTCGTTGTGTGCTCGTCGGCTGATGCGTAGCGAATACCTAGCGCGGACATAGCGTGCCTCTAACGCATGTCTAACGGATACGCATAGACTATAAAGGCGTGATAAACAAGAGCTGAACGAGTATGTAGCGCGCACAACGTTCGTCTGGCGTATGTCTACGGTCCCGCCCTACCTCCTCATTTCTCCTCCTACCCTAATGGGTAACTCTTCTGCGTCATTGCTGCATAGTGCACAGGCTCCTTTCAATTCCTCCTGCTCTTGATGCCAGAATTTAGTGTTTTTCTTCGTGCAGGTCGCCTTTCGTCCCTTTGCCTTGGGAGGCATCTTGATATCCCTTCAAATTCCATGGAGGGCCGATGAGGATGTGCCCTCCTTGGCGTCCTAGTCCTACTGATATGACAACAGGCAAGACGGACCACTGCGCCGCTGCTAAGTGCAGTTCGCTGGCTGTACGTTGAATGCGCGGTGCACGCGCGGTCCATGCGTCCCGTGCGCTAGCAAGCCGCTGTGCATCCGTTGTGTGTGCGCACTTAATGCGCTCTGTATTCGCTGTGTAGGTGCCCTGTATACGCCCGGCGCGCTGGCAAAGCGCTTGCAGCGCGTTGTGCATTCGTTGTAAAGCTGCTATTTCCTGCTGACTCTTGACAAAAGTTGGTCACACATCAACGCACGACGACGCACTGGTCTTTTTGCAATGCGCCGGCCTGCGCCGGCCGTACGTCATGTATGTGTGACCGGGCCTTTAGGAGCTGCGCGCTCCAAGGAAGCAGTCCGCATGGGATGTGATTGGCATTACCCCCTGGGCGCGGCTGGGTTAACATTCACTAGGCACTAGCAAGCTCGCTCGCCGGTCGTGGGACAGTATGGGGACTTACGCATGCCACGCTGTTGTTTTGTTTTTATTGCAACACTACATAGGTAGTGTTGTTATGTCTGACTTTGTCAAGGCCCTATAGGTATAGGATTATATTTATACCCAGGCTCCAATACGCGTTTTTCCGTGCGATTTTGCGATAATGCGAGGATGCAATGCCCTTGGCCATGCCAGGAAATGTTCGTCTAGTGCAAACGGATGCGCTAAGCCACACTGCGGGAATCTACTTTTATAAATGTCACACAATATTGCTCTTGCATTATCGCATTATCGCAAAATCGCACGGAAAAATCGCGTTGTGGAGCCTGGGCTTTAACCCTATTCCTGGCGGGGGGGCCTCAGGAGCCCCCCCCCCCCTGAGGTTTTTTGGTTATTTCTCCCAAACGCTTTGAGCTAGGAAGCTCAAATTTTCTGACTTTTCCTAAAAGGCTTTTACGCAACATTTCTGAAAATTTTGAGTTGATCTGACCTCAGGTCAGGTCACCAGAGGCGGTTTGGTGACCCTACCTCAGAAAAGTTTGCAATCACGCCAGAGCTAGAGTTTTTGACCGATCAATTTCTTCTCTTCAGGCTTTAGTTAGGGTACCAGTATGTGCAATTTGTATATCTCAGAATTTTCATATCTGTGACCTGAGGTCAGGCCAGACTCGTGACCTTTACATTGCAAGCCTATGGGAAAATATTGAAACGCCTCCTGCTTCGTGTAAACGAGTCAAAACCACCCAATTCTTTCAGTATTATGGAAGATTATCTCATCGGTGATGATCCTGGTGCCGCTAATTGACAGGGGCACCGGCAAAGGTCATCTGAGGTCATGTGACGTCATAAATCGTTTTTCTGTCAATAAATCACGACATGATGGTGCCAAAGACTTGTAAGTGGTACCAAACTGCTCGCCTGGTCAAGGCGCGTCGTTTGGTATGCAGCATGACCATACCCCACAACCTCATTGATGAATGACCTGACCTTGACCTCAGGTCAAATTTCAAATTGACCTGCGAAGGTCATCACATACTTATTTTGCATCGCCTCGGCGAGAGCAACAAAAAATGTATTGGTTTTATGTCTCTATGTTTCTTAGTTTAAAAGTTATATAGGTAACTAATTCCAAAGCATTTTATCGTTGATGACCTCTGGTGACCTCAATA